AAAAGGATTCAGCACAATCGACCATATCTACTTGGTAACCATTGAGGTTTCTCAGGAGTTCAAGATGCCACTTTGTCTAATGTTCCTTGATTTAGTGAAGGCCTTTGATTCTGGTGAGACTGAAGCAGTCATCAAAGCCCTAGCCAAACAGGGTGTTCAAACTCAATACATCAAAATACTCCGTGAGCAGTATTATGGATTCACCATTCTACAAGGAAGTGATCATCGATGTAAAGAGAGGGGTTTGGCAGGGTGATTCCATTTCACCGAATTCCGTTTCACCATTCTCAGTGGCACCCTTGAGAACATCATGCTACAACTGGAATGGAAAGGAATGGGAGTGAATATAGACTGTTGGCAACTACACAACCTCTGCTTCACTGATGACATTGTTCTAATAACACCAAACATTAACCAAGCGGCACAAATGCTGGCCAACTTCGACCATGAGTGTGGAAAGGTTGGACTGTAGCTAAATCTCACGAAGACAATGTTTATGAAAAACGAACTCATTCCTGACTTTCCATTTTCTCTCAACGGAACAAACATCTCCGAATGCAACAGTTATGTGTTCCTAGGTCAATAACTCAATATGACAAATGACCTTGCACCTGAGTTGCGCAGGAGGAAGATACTGGCTTGGACCGCCTTCAGGAGCATCGAATAAATAGCTATGAAGACAAAGAAACTCCTGCTCCGGGCACATCTCTTTGATTCCACTTTTCTTCCTGCATTAACATATACCTCAGAGACCTGGACCATACGAAAACAGATGAGAACGCTATTCAGTCTCCCAAAGAGGAATTGAAAGAGCTATGCTTGGAGTATTATGCTTCACTCAAGTGTGAGAAAGAATCTGGAGTTGCGACCTCCATTGACAAGCAAAAATCAGGGATGCTGTCTCATTTGTTAAAACTTCTAAAATCAGATGGGCTAGATATGTTATGTGATTTGGAGATGACTGCTGGACTAGAGCCATTACCGACTAGATTCCATGGGACATCAAAAGATCACATGGCCGCTCACCTACAAGATGGTCAGACTTCTTCGTCAAGACCCTGAATGATCAGTTTGAGGCTCTTTGTTATCCTGGAGCGAGCAGTCACCATTGGGCCACACTAGCATGAGACAGGAACAAATGGAAACGTTACTGGCGCCCACTCAAGCAAATTGATGAGTAAGGGGATGTCAGGTGATCAAGTGATAAAATGATCAAGTCCAGGAAAAAAATTCAAAATTTAAAACACAGTTTTACTACATGCATGTCACTTTTTAACCATGATAAAAATTAAAGAACAAACACATTTGGGAACCATCATTAGTGTTGTGCCATCTGTACTATTAGAATATTAGGATAAAAAGGAACACAGTCAAATGAATTCAAATTCAATGACGGAAATCTCTTTTAGGGTAGTTTTACTTGATGTTTGAGAGATAATTTCAAGAGTAAAAATAGGTTAGGACATGTGAATCTAAAAGCTATAGAAAGAATATCAAAACGACAGAGGGAGTTTCTCAAGATATGGGGTTGGTTCTAATCCATGGGCTTTAGCCAGGAAGAAGATGATTTGTTATTGTTGTGACTTCTAGAATAAAATCTCAGGCATCTGTATTTATAGTGTGATGTTTTCTAGTGTTGAAGCTGCCAACAATGTGAATTCTACTCAAAATACAGATGGCTAAAATCACGTGCCAGAAAGACATTTTCTGTAGTGAAAATCCTGTGCATCTGATTCATCATGTTCACTTTCTAATATATTTTCTCCTTCTTATCATATACTGCTTATCTTTCTTTTGATAGTGTCTATTAATTCATGGAAACCTTGTGTTGAATTCTTTCTTATAGTTTACATTTTTTAGTAATTTCCTGCTCAGTGTATATTACTTTCAGAGTTCTCATTGCTTTTATTAACTAGAATGATCAGATCACATGAAACACTTTTTGAGCGTTATCTATTCTGCAATGGATGTGGTAAAGAAATCTGGAAGAGAGATTGCAGAGATGGTACTGAGTTTAAGCACCTCACAGGCCCCAGTTCACTCTCTGGCCCTTCATGGACACTGGCTTCACTGGTTGCAGACTCTAGAGGTACCTGAGGACCTAAACAGCACCATGCCCCTGGATCTGGCACTGAACTGTCTACTGTCCTATTTATCCATATCTCCAGAGGTGAATCACTGCTTGGGAAGTTAAAAACAAAATCTGGAAGAAATAAACAAAAGTCCATTAATAATCTGAATTCAAGGGGCTAACGAGATAGTCCGGGGGGTAAAGTGCTTGCCTTGCACATGACCAGCATGGTTTCAATCCCCAGAACCCCCATATTTTATCCCAGTTCTAGCATAAACCATTAAGCACAGAGCCAGAAGGAAGGTTTGAGAACTTCTGGAAATGGCACAAAATAAACAAATAAATAAATATCATTTGTGCTGTAATTGAATTATATTGACTGTCATAGTTATATAAATTTTAGAGTCATATTAGATTTATAAGATGAATATTATATAATGCAGGTTAGATTACATATGGAAAATATACTATATTATTTAATTTTAAAATGGAAGTAGTCTCTTTCCAAAATCATGTAACCTATATTGTGTTTTCTTAATAAGTATATGACATAAATATTAAGCATAGTGTGAGGTGCAGTAACATTGTTATGTAGACTTGATTAATTTAACTAATAGATATTTAAAAATTAATATCTTAAGTTTCTAGAAATAGCTCAGACCTTTTTAATGAATGCTTTTTAATTTGGGACATCTTTTGTAGACTGGCAAAACAAAATTAGATTTGACTTGTATATATCAGATATTAGCACTTGTATTTTTATTGTTATTTTGTTTTTGTTTGGGGTTACATCAAGTTGATCTAAGGGCTAACTACAAGCTCTATGCCCAGGGAGCACTTCTGGTGGTGTTCAGGGCACCCTGTGCAGTGCTGAGGGTTAAACTTGGGTTGACTATGCACCTTACTCACTGTTCTGGTACTCCAACTCAGCTCTGGTATTTTTTTTTATTTTGATTTTCTATTGCAACTGTCGGATAGAGCATTACAAAGCCATTTATGATTGGATTTTAGTCATACAATAATCCAACACCTATCCTTCCACTAGTGTGCATTTCCCAGCTCTGGTAGTTTTATTACGTATCTTCAATGGATGTATTCTTTGAGTCTTAACCTGCATACACACTGGATAGTCATTGTTTTGTTTGTTTGTTTGGTTTCTGAGCCACACCCTGTGATGCTCAGAGTTTATTGCTGGGCTCAGCAATAAGCTCAGCAACCACCCCTGCAGGCTCAGGAGATACGACTTACCTGGAATCATACCCGGTTGGCCACCTGCCATCCATAATGCAGTGCCCTACCCACTGTAAAATCACTCCAGCCAGAATAGTCAGTGTTTTTTGTTAAAAAGGAAAAACATGTATCAGTTCCATTCACAATAAATTATAACAAAATATCATCGATTATCACTTGGACTGACAAGTAGCAGTAGCATTATTTGTCATAGTTAAAATACATAAACTCTAAATGCCTGTCACTGTTTCAGAGGTCTCCAAACTGATTGGGCCTATTGTCCTTTTTTAGAACAAAAATTACTCAGTACTCCCTGAAACTCTACATGTAGTAGAACAAGTAGAGAGGACCCAAAATTGCATGTAGGCTACTAATGTGCCGTGAATTATCACAGTGCCCCATACCTTATGATCAGTATCACCCACTTCTGGGAAGACTGATTTAGCAGAGAGATGACTAATATGTGTCAGAGCCATAAAATGGAATATCATCGAGGTATATAAAGAAATGTTACTCTATCAAGCATAGTTGGACTTTGAAAATGTTGCTTCAAATGAAAATCATCCCTTTACACATATCATACTGTTCCTTTTATGCAAACTTTCCATAATATGTTAGCTCAACAAACAAAACTTAAATTAGATGGTACCTGTTATTGTTATCATGAGGGAGCTGGGAAAATGAAGGTGATAACAAAATAGTGATAAATTAGATGGTATCTGTTATTGGTACCGTGAGGGAGCTGGGAATATGGGGGTAATAACAACGTAGTATGAATATAACTTTGACGTTAAGATGTATTCTAAAATATTGCTTCTGGTTATAGCTACAGGAAGACTTATGAACATCGTGAAATCTTTTGATTTTTAAACTTTTGAAAAAAGAATTACATAATAAATTATATCATTTGTGAATTACATAAGAGTGAAACTTTTGTTGTTATTGTTTCATGTTACCAACAAATTTAAAGTATTTTTGTTTTCAGCAACCAAAACATATTTTAACTGGAGGGAAATGGTGATTCAAAAGTTAAACACAGGCAATTTGCAGATGAAGCAACTTCTTATCATAATAACCCCCACACAATCCCCCAGACCAGTTGTAGACTTTTCTTGGAAAACCACTCTCAAAACCCCCTATAATTCCTGTGTTGAGTTCTTTTCTCAATTTGCAGGAAGCACTGCTATTCACCAACAGTATTGCAGTAGCACACATGATTTTTTTTCCATTTGGGGTTTTGGGCCACACCCAATGATACTCAGTGGCTAGTCCAACTCTGTGCTCACAAGTAACTGCTGGTGGAACTCAGTGGACCATATATGGTGCTAGGATTCAAACTAGTGTTGACTGAATACAAGGCATTATCTCTCTGGCCCTCACTTATTCATTTCTAATGGTTGGTAGGCAGTCCCAGCAACAAAAAGTTTTGGTCTTAAGTCTCTAATTTGATTATTTATCATCTGATCATGGGGATGCATTTGTGCATTTTAGCACCTGCGTGCAGTGGAAGTAAAGAACCTGTTGTTATTATCAGAGCTGTATGAAGAGAAGCAAAAAAGTCTCTCTCCTCACAGAGGAAGACTGAGAGGAAAATGTGCATCTTAATGCGAGACAGATTCCTTGATCAAGAATGAGATTGGTTGTCTCCATTTGACAGGAACCTTTTAATATGTTATGTCCGATCTTTTTTTCTGTTTAGCTTTAGATCCAGCTAAAGATCCGTGCTTAAAGATAAAATGCAGTCGCCATAAAGTATGCATCGCTCAAGACTCTCAGACGGCTGCTTGCATTAGTCACCGGAGGCTTACTCACAGGTAAATACTGTTAAATTTAATTGAATAGTGCTCCTTTCCATGAATAACTGAAGAGTATAAATATTTGGCAATGTCTACTAAGCTTTTATCTGGAGTTTTATTGAAACAGTTTCAGAAGTTTGGCTGATACAATTATGATTCACTTAGCTTGAATATAGTTTTCAGCCAAAATTGCTCTGGATTATAGAGTTTAGGCATTTGTGATTAAAATAAGAAGACATAGTGTCCATATACTGTACTTTTGCAAGTTTAAGGAATGACTACATGCACTTTAAATGTTTTGCTTATGTGTATTTCTCTAATATCCTACCTCCATGAGCAGAGATTTGTTTTTTCTCTTGGTATTGTTGTTATGATTTTTTGCCAGGGTGGGGGTAGGTGGGAGTTCTAAACCTGGCTTATCACTTCTGGTGGGCTTAGGAGACCATAGGTAGTGCCAGGGATCAAATGAGGGTCAGCTGCTATCAAGGCAAGACCTTTACGTGCCATACTGTCCTATTCAAGAACCTGGGCCTTCTGCATGAGACTGTTTAGTTATATCTCAGGGCCCTAATGTGAACATACATTTATGTGATAGTGAGCCTAATTCATGTTTTGCTTTTACATCAAACGAACAAGGGGATTTTGTTGTTTGGATATGTTCTGAGGCTAATTGAATTTTGGATTTAGTGTACTTATATCTGTTTCTATTATTCAAACAAACCAGTAAATACATAAGTAGCCTTACTAGAAAATTACAAATATTTACTTTGATGTTCCCTATTACAATAAAGGTACCTATGCATTAAGACTTTTATTTTATGTTAAATGCATTAGTGGAAGTGTTCAGTCCACAGTGACAAATCGTTAGTTGCATTGTGAGATCATTAGTCTAGACTATGGGAATTAGTTGCTTTGGACAAAGAATCATAGCAGACCAATAATGTATCTGCAGAAATAAAGCAGAAAGGAGGGAAGGAAAAGAATGACAATTTGGAGATATAAAGTGTAAAAACGTACTGGAAATAGTAAGTCTTTGAAGCAACTCAGTCTGTAAGGACAGGGTGCAGAAGAGTTGTCAGTAATACATACCCACTCAGTCATTACTGCTATATTATATCCCTAAAATACTAACGATATTTGGGCAAGAGTTAACTTTTATATTTATCTCTTTTAAATGTTTAATTCTGTTTTAAGTAGCAAGGCTACAATAGTGTTTAGGTTTTTGATTTTGGTTTACAAAGCTCCTCACACTGCCACCACCAAAATGCCTGTGACTCTTCACACCTGTCACTGTCACCAGGTTACTTTGTGTCCAACCTTCATTCCTCAACCTCCATTCCCCCATCCATGGCTGATTGACAGTTATGGTTTGGGTGCATAGACTCTTACCTGCCTTGACCACTACCCATGTATACCCTCCACTGATGCTCCCAGATTACTTCCGGTTAATTTGCTAGTTCTCTATACCCACCTCCCCCTGACCCCTAATAACAGTCCCATGTCTATTTATTTATTATAGCTTCAAAAGTTTTTATTGTTCTACAAACCAGACATTAATTAGTTATCTGAATATATACATACACATGTGCAGAGCCTGTAGATGTTTGCTTGAGAAATAAACAGGAGGGTGTTGATGAAATTATCTCTAGGACCCTACAAAACTCAGTTGCAGTGACTTAGTTCATTTCAAATAAAGGCAAAAACTTTCATCACAAATTCTAGAGACCTAAGAAAGTTTTCCACTTACACATATTTAACACTTACAGACGTTTTCCTCTGCCTCTTTACCCTGGGTCCTGTAAATCCAAGTCAAAAAATTATCTGAATAACCAGCAGTTCGTATCAGGAGTCTACCTGACATTTTCCGAGCAACACAGCCAGAAGAGGATACTGACAGAAAGACTCAGGATCACAAAGTTAGAACATTGTTTTCTATCTTCATTTATCAAAACCTGAGTCCACACTGTTGGAGCCCTGTGTGCTACTGCTTCTCTAACATAGTAAACAAAGACTAAACTACAGGCTCAAAGGAGCTGCTTTGACATGATAAAAATAATCTGAAACCAATACTTAAATGTTCCTAATGTAAACCTGTGTCTGGAGCACGCGTGTTGCTAGCTTGCCTTTGGTGTGGTTCTGGGCTAGGGGAATGTGTGAATATAGTGCGACTTATGTGGGTGGACTTCAAAGTCCTTTATGTAAATAGTATTTAGATGAGATCTATTTTTGACACAGACTATTTTAAGCTTTTCACTCAGTGCACAGTGTAGTCAATAAATAAATAACCAGTTTCCAAGGAATTGATATTAAGATTAATATTTGATCTGCATTGTTTGCTTCGAGGTTGTCAGTATATAGTGAATGTTGACACAACCCTCTGGGAAGAGGCGTTTTGCCAAGCAGTTTGATCAATAAAGATGGCTAATATAAATAATGGAGCTCTTCAATTGGAGGAGTGTATGCATGTTAGGAGAAAATCATATATTGGCAGCAGAAAACAGAGACAGAGGACTTAGCCAGCTTTTTCCATTTGCATGGTTTATATTAGAAAGCTGTACTTTTCTCTTTTAATTTTTTTTTCTGATAGTTCAAGCACTGCGACACATGTTTTCCAGGCAGGGGATTGGCTAGCATCCCCCGTGCTGCCTGGTCCCCTGAGCATTCCTGGGGTGACCCCCAAGCACCAAGCTTGGAATAGCTCCTGAGTACCACGAAATGTGGCTCCAAGTACTTTCCCTTCAAAAAGAAAACTAAGCTTCCATTTTTATGGAAAGGAACAGCTTCATTTTCTTCTAACTATTCTTGTTATAGGGAAAATAAACAAGGTCTGCCCTTTGCTGAGGATTACTCTTTCCTAGAGAGGGCTGGCTTCTGAAGCACTTTCCTAATTAGTTATTACATTCAGTTTTCTCTATTACTTTATTTTTAGCTTTTTGTTTTGGGGTCCCTCCAAGCTGTGCTAAGAGCTTGCTTCTGGCTTTGAGCTCAGGGATGCAGACAACAGGGCCCAATTGTGAGTCCAGGATGAAACCAAGAGGTCAGGAGCAAGCTAGGCAAGTTCCTTACCCTCCATAATCTCATTCCAGTCCTCTCTGTTACTTAAAAACACTGAATTTTTTATCTTGTAATACTCATACGGTTGTTATAAAACATCTAGTTTCAATCTCATTTCATTTAAAGTTGGGCGAATGTGAGTAGTGTCTATCTTATTTAAAACTTAAAATGATAGACTGTTTAGTGTATTTAAATAGCTACTATTTAAGGTATATTTAGAAAAAAAAATGAGAAATAGTTTGAGTGAGGTGCTCAAGCCAGATAAGTCTGACGGCTATCTTCTGTATATCTTGTGCAGATATGCTGAAGGTCCATTGTGCAGGGCATAGGAGTCAATCAACAAATATTTTAAGATAAAGTTATTGACTTAATCAATAAATTATAGCTAAAACATAACCAGTGGATATGACAATATGAGCAAGAAAAGCATACTTAATAATTGGTTTTAAGCAATTGGGGAAACTTGCCTACAACTTAGAGATAAGTTGATAGAAAAATAAATAATAGGCTGAATATTGCCTCAGTGCTTCAAATAATTTTCTTTTAGGATGATAAAAATGGTACTTTAGGTATCCTTTTACTTCTGGCTTTGGCAGCTGTTTCCTAGTGTAAACTCTCCAAGTAGCTATGTCCAGTTGTATATTGGGTATGTATCTACTATTGACTTTTTCAGTTAAGAAATGACCTCAGACAAACATGGTATGTGTATTCTTGTGCTTTCTCTTATCCTTATTATCATCAGATTAAAGCAAATTGGCTCATAAAAAATGGAAAGTGTTACTGTTGCATGTTTTACAACATGGTTACAGAACAATTACCTAGAGGATTTAATATAAAATATGATAGGCTTACCAGACTGCATATATGACCCACTTTTTATATTTTTTATCCTGGTGGAGTGTTCTGAGATGTTTGTAGCTGAAGGTTCTGGTTTCATGGTTCTCCTTTATTGTGAGCAAGGATCGTAGTCTTCCACGCTCCCTTTACTGTGTGTGCAGCTGCAGGTAATTAGCACTATTTCTAGATCAATGTTTCAAGCAACAGTCAATGCTACTGATATTTAAAAAGGGATTTGGTATAAGAAGTCTAAGTAAGGTTGAAGAAATTGTCATAGGATAAAAGCTATATTTATTGCTGTTTTATTTAACAAAGAATGAACACCATCTATAGATGTGCATTTTTGTATCCAAAAAGGGCAAATGATAAAATTAATTAAAATTAATTGAAAATGCTACTTATCTAAAATAGATGTCAGTGGATGAATCATAAAATTTCTCTATTTTAATCAGGCACTTTTAGAATTCAATTTTAATGACCATATCAAGCAAATCTTAATTTCTTAAATGTGTAACTATGAGTTTATTTCTGTTTTTACATTGTTGAAATATTTATGAGATGATGATTCCATGTGAGATTCCATGTGATGATTCCATGTGATGATTCCATGTGAGATGATTCCATGTGAGATTATAGGCATGTGCCAAAAAGGACCTCCCATTGTTCATCGATTTGCTCCAGCGGGCCCAGTAACGTCTCCATTGGAGACTTTGTTGTTACTGTGTCTGGCATATCGAATACGTCATGGGGAGCTTGCCAGGCTCTGCCGTGTGGGCGAGATACTCTCAGTAGCTTCCCAAGCTCTCCGAGAGGGGCGGAGGAATCGAACTCGGGTCGGCCATGTTGGCTGCGTGCAAGGCAAACGCCCTACCGTTGTGCTATAGCTCCAGCCCCCAAAAACGTTTGCTAAATTAAATTAAATTTGTAGTTATTTAAAAATAATCTCCTCATACTTAAGTAAGATTCAGCCCCTCTCAGATATGAGTACACTGATTTTTTTGTCCTTAGGGAGAATAAAAGCTTTTTTTTTCTGCAGGCCTTATGTGTGTAAAACTCTCTATTATGTGCCTTAGATTAATTTAGTGTTTTAAGAGTTTTAAGACTTTCCAGTGTTTTATAATAAATAT